CTGTGCTTCTGACTGTACCCAGTGCTTGTATAAATAAATAAATAAATCTTTAAAAAAAAAAAAAAAGGCCAGTGTACATTTATAAAGTAAATCAAAATAACCAGATGGGACTCAATACAAAAATTCAGGAAGGTATCAATATTAGGAAATTTATTAATGTAATTTACCATATAAACAGAATAAAAGTGAACATTCATCACTGTATATGATATAAAGGCCTTCAATAATAATTTTTAAAAAAGAACTAATTAGTTCTTTTTTAAAAAGAACTAATTAATGCTTTTAAATATAAATGACCAATATCCAAACAGCACTAGGTTTATCAGGAAAACATGAGAAAGCATTTTCTTTATTGTTAACAATAAAATAAGGATGCTGTTATCACCATTATTACTTAATAGAAATAGCTACCAGTACAATCAAAGAGAGTGAAGAAGTAAATATAGTAAAAAGCCAAAAAATAAAATGATCATGTGCCAATGTTGATGTGGAAAATTGGAAAGAATCTAATTAAAATGTTCCACAAACAATTCAATAATTCATGTCAGTAGCCTTCACACATTCAAACAAACAGAAAATATAAATAAGACACCATGTCATGTAACATCCAAAAGAAAACATAAATGAAAATATGTACAACCTATAAAAAAGTTTTATAGCACTAGTGAAATATAAAATAAAGAAATAAAAAATAAAAAGTCTATGCTCTTAATGATTGTAATGATATTAAGCATCATAATGATATTAAGCTATCTTGGATTCATTATAAATTGAAAATGATCCAAATAAAGATAGAAATAACATTCTGTTTAGAGCTAGATGAGCTCACTATAAACTTCTTATGAAAAAATAAACAAGTAAAAATAACTGACAATTTAGAGGGAAGCAGCAACTAGGACTACCTCATGTTAAACTATATCATAAAGCTATAGTAATTTAAGTACTGTGGTACTAACATAAGAATAAGAGATAAAGGAGGAGGGAGAGGGATGATTGGGAGGGAGCAGCACAGGGGACTGTGGTGATGGTGCATGGGTGCCTTGGGGAAGGAAAGTCTATGGGGACTCAATCTGAGGGGGTGGGAGACAGCAAATATTGTCTAAAAAAAATTAAAAAATGATAAATTTTAAAATAAAATATAATAAAAAAAGAAACTAAAAAAAAAAGAATAAGAGATGAAGCTAGAAGTCCAGAAAGATCCACACACAGGACAATTAAATATATAATAATTATGGTCATAATTTTTCAAATCTGGGCGTGGGGAGAGAAAGGCTTATTTAACAAATATGTTGAAACCACTTAATGGTTTTCTGGAAAAAATATGTTTACCTTAAATTCCATACCTTAACTTTAACATGAAACAAATTCCAGATTGATTGAAAAAATGTTATAGCAAATAAAAACAGAAAGTTGCTAAAGGAAAATACAAGAAAGCAGTTTTTGTATCATCTCAAAATGGACAGACTGTTTGGTGTGATAAATTATGTCAAAACTATAAAAAAGAAGGTTGCTAAATTAAACCATATAATCTTTTCCTTATTTATGTCCAAAAGCACAATATATAAAATCAAAAGTCAAACAAAAACTTGCATGTACACACACAGGTATATATACACATATAGAGGCTACTTGCATCAGACAAAATTGACTCCCTTAACATATAGTTTCTACAAATTAATTTTTTAAAAATCCTAAAGAAAAAAAAAATCTATGACAGAAAGTTCATTCAAAAATTCCAAAGGGCCTCCCTGGTGGCGCAAGGGGATAAGACACAACCTATGAAGCTATCCGCAGCCACTGCTGCACAAGTTTGATCCCCAGCCAGGGATCAACCCACATGGTGCAGCAGACCTCTCCTGACTCACCTGCTGCTCCCCTTCGCAGTGTACTTCAGTCAATCTGCCTCTTCTGTTCCCCACTCTTCCTCTGGTGAATCCTCTCACTCTCTCTCCACACCTCTGGCCTGTTTCTCAGTTCTTGTATGCATAAATAATAAATAAATCTTAAAAAAAAAAAAAATTCCAAAGGCCCTCCCTGGTGGCTCAGGGGTTAAAGATAACACTATCAAGCTATTGCCAGCCACTGCAGCACGAGTTCAATCCCAGCCAAGGAGCTGATGCTTATACCACTTGAAATTATAATTCACCTCCTAGAAGTTTATGCTATGGATGTGCATATGCCAGTTAATGGGTATAGCTTCATTCCTTAGAGCATAGCTTGTAGCTATAAAATATTATAAACAACCTACATGTCTAATTAACAAGGACAGTTAAATAAATTATGGGCACTACATGATAAAATATTATACAATCATTTTAAAAACTTGCAGATCTATTTAAACTGATGGGAAAAGATGACCTTTTAAAATATCAAAGTATAGAACTGCATTTTTAGTGTGTACTGCCTATGTGAATTAAAAAAAATAATAATATAGGGCCTCCCCAGTGGCGCAGTGGTTGAGCGCTGGGTTGCAAAGCTGCCCGCAGCCTCTGCAGCGCCAGTTCAATCCCCGGCTGCTCCCCAGCCACCGCAGGAGGGTCCCACATGGCACGCAGACCTCTCCTGCTGCCTGCTGCTCCCTTCGGCAGTGTACTTCGGTTCTTCTGCCTGCTCTGCTCCCCGCTCTGGCTCTGGTGAGTTCTCTCACCCTCCAGCGCTTCTGACTGTACCCAGTGCTTGTATGTATAAATAAATAAATAAATCTTTAAATAATAATAATAATAATAATAATATAGATTAGTCCCAGGATATACAACTGACTGAAAATTGTTACTGCCCCTGGGGTGGGGTAGCGGGGTGCAATACTGTGAGTTACACCAGTACTTCTCTATGGCCTTCTGTGCCCTCCCCAATCACTCTTACACCACATTCAGTGACCCTTAACTATGTCTAACATGAGCTTTGCTTTTCTGTTTGTCTCTCTTGCTTTACCTTTTTGTTTGGGGGTGATATATAAAATGAGGTAGAGGACACGGCAAGCTCCTGTCATCACTTTCAAATAGAAATTTGTTCCCTTTTGCACCTTTGAATTGTTAACCATATAGCTCTACTTTTTAAAAGTAAAATTATTAATATAATAAGATAAGAAAATGTCAAATGTTTAATTTTGTTAATGGACCTATCTTATTTTTGGTTATAGCTATTATGGAACAACGTCCTAGAGTCTTAGAAACCAACGTGAGGGGTTGGAGGTTTTGGCCTGTGGAATTCATTCTTATTTTCACTTCAAAAGAGTGTTTTGTTTTTTTTTTTCAGGTTTACCTATTGGTGTTTTCTGAGTGGAAGATTTCAATAAAATGGATTCTGCTACTATGAAGTGTTTAAAACCGTTGCTACTCTGTTCTTGCAGTTCATGGCATTGTGGAGACACGTTAGATAATTGTTTACCCTACGTCAGTGGCTACTAAGCCTAGAGCGTAATTTTACTGTTTTAAAGAATTTTCATGGTTTATCATTGTTATTCATTTACTGTTAACATTTTTGATGGTTTTTAGAGTGACTCAATACTGGATAGGAAATGCAACCCCCAAGTTTACTACTATCACTTTGGAAATTTCATCCTGCTTGCTGTCAATTCATATACTACTGGGGCTTCCTTTAATACCAGTAAAATTGGCAAGTTGCATTTGTAATACCAACAATTTGGAAAAAAATTCGTAGTCAATGAGATATCTAATCTAGTTATATGCTGTGGTTTTCTGCTTCTACACTTTCTTAGTTTTAGTTACCTCAGCAGGTAATTACATATTTACTTTAAATTTATATCAAGACAACAGCGTTTTATTGATTGCTGCGTTCTGGTGAAATATGCCAAGTTGACGATGTCTCAAATCAATGCGAAAATAAAAGCATTTTCAACTAAACTCAGCAATTTCATCTAAAGAGCAAGTACTGTGATACTGGTTGCAAATCAGAAAATTAGAGGTGAACAATATTCACTCTGAATGTATAGGTTTTCCAATTGCTACCTCCAGTTGATATGCAGCCAAAGGTCATGAATGGGAGCTGAGTGCAAAATGGAGTTTGTAGATGTAGTTCTTCTGATTCTTCATCAAATGCAAAGAGGACTCAAGAATGGCCAAACAAGATGTTATGTCTTCTCCCTTCCATTCCATGCTGTTGCTAGTTCCTGTACTCACTTCTATGTTGTTGATGGGGAGTCTGTCTGAAATGGCCATATGCTCCACTAACTGGAAAAAACAAAACACCCTCAAAGCTGATCATCTTGGATTTACTTCAAGATCCTTGGTGCCGATGTTCCAAATAAGGGTTTTTCCTTTATTTCACTTCCTTCAAAAACCATTTTTTGGGGCCTCCCTGGTGGCGCAGGGGGTTAAGACGCAACATATGAAGCTGTCCGCAGCCACTGCAGCATGAGTTCGACCCCCAGCCAGGGAGCTGCCCACATGGCACAGCAGACCTCTCCTGAATCACCTGCTGCTTCCCTCAGCAGTGTGTTTCAGTCGATCTGCCTGTTCTGTTCCCCACTCTGTCTCTGGTGAATCCTCTCTCCCCCCACACCTCTGGCATGTACGCCAGTTCTTGTATGCATAAATAAATAAATCTTAAAAAAAAACACCGTTTGTTTAAAGCATCCACATGTGGAATTATGCCTGCAGACTTTGGGGGCCAGATGATTAGATGATCCATCATCTCTGTTTCTAGCATCCCCTCTCTAATGATGGAGACACCCATAAAAGCAGATCATTAGAAAAGTCTGAGTGGTATTTTTTGGGTATGCTGGTGGCACAAAAAAAGGTGTGATGGAGTCTGGGACCTGGAATGGTGAGGGAAAATTTCCCAAAAGATAAAATAGATAAGCTCTATTTAAAAGGCAAGTAGATATATGATCTAAAAAGTCATCTATATTAGGTAGCTGGTGCTAAACAGCTACAGAGATTTCATGGATTGGTCAATTGGGCAGATACACAGGGACTGTGTGTAGGAAGTGAAGTCACAGACACGGGTGGGACCAGGTTGGAATCTGGTCAGCTCTGCATCACCTAGGACAGAAAATTAAGGTACTTTGTAGGACCTGTTTTATTTTTTCTCCTATTGTAAGGCAGTGAGAAAAACGGTAGGGGTTCATGGTTCCCCAAATTATTTTGTGCTCAGTGGTCTCTGACACGTGCTTAGTCCACCAACCTAAGCTGTTGTCAGTTGCAAATACTGGAACTAATATCAACATGAAACAGGGGCAGGGCAGGGGAAGGAGGTACGGAGGGAGAGAGAGAGAGAGAGAGAGAGAGAGAGGGAATGTGTTATATTATATGACCATTTTTTAGTCAACACCTGTAACACCACCATGGGAATTATAGATTTGATGAGGAATCTGTAAATAAGGAAATGCTGTATCTGCAAACTCAATCTCACAGTCAGCTTTGCTGTATGACGCTGGGTTCACTCATATTTGGTTGCTATAAAGCAATAACTGAAAATAATCTAAACTCAGGAATAAATTGTATTCACTTCTAATCTTCTGATTTTCAGTGTACCTTATAATATTTACCTTTTGGTTGAAACTGAGTTCTACACATTATATTTTTGGAGATCATCTTTTTAAAAATACAAATTCAGCATTTTCATCACAGGAACTCCCCAATATTAAATGATGCTATTTTTGAAAGCCCCAATTTTAAATATCATTTCTCAAAATCTGTAAATCCCCTCTTCGGGGTAGGTTTGGTTAATCAAAAATCTGTTATTTCGCATGTTTATTTATTATTTTATAGATTGTGCATTGCACTTCATTGCCATTCTTCTCAGCATACAGAAAAGGGATATTTTGCACATAATGGAAATTTAATAAGTTGAAAAAATGAAACACATAGTGTTCTCAGTAAAATTAGAGTCATGTTAAATTGGATATATACATAAACAAGTGGAACAAGAATTAGTCATCAAGGGTAGATACTCAAATGGTATCAACTTAACACCCACAGTAGAAGGGTACTTGGGGGCTACCCAAGTCAATTTCTAAATTCCTCAACAGCAATGAAAACAGAAATGTATTTTTTCAAAAATGTTATTTTTGAAAACCACAGTCATGAGTTGTGTTTTCCCAACAAATTGTAGTAGATATCCACAAAGAGCTGCCTATGACTTCACTGAACATAGAGACATCACAGGAAAAAAAAAATGTGTGTGTGTGTGTGTGTCCATTGTATCTTTCTCTCCAGGTACTAGAGCCACCTTCTCCAGCAAGTCTGGAAACCAGCTGACTCATAAAAGTCCAGCAAAGTGACCACTTGAGAAGTGATTAGGGATGGTTGATGACTGTCTCTCAGGAGTTCTGCTGAGCTCAGCTAATGAGATTTTGCTTGGAATTAAAATCAAATTTTGGTCCATCCACTAGGAGATAAAGAAGCTAAGGTATCTTAAACTTGTGCTATTTCCCTCCTCCCATCATTCTCCCTGTTATTCTGGCTAAGATTTTCTTAAGGTAAAGGGGAAAGAGTCAGCAGTTATTGCTTCAGGTGCTGAGTTCAGACAAAACTTCTTTACCTTTCCCCAGTGGTGCTTTCCTATTTGGAATGAACCCTATCTGATAAGACAGGTTTAGCCCTTCTGTTTGGTTTTTGTTTCCTGTCTATGGAGATGACTCTTACCCTGTGTCTCCTGTAGACATTTGTGGAAAAATTATGGTGTAATAGAACCATTGCCATCACCTGCATCCTTGCTCATATACTTACCTTGTCTGGTAAAATGCTATAAAACTATTAGAAACCTTGAAACAAAAATGACCTTCTTTAATTTGTCATTCTATAATACAGTTGCTATGATATACTCTAGTAGCATATAGTTATTATAGCCAATTATGAATTTTCTTTAACAAGGAAATGTCCATGTTTTCCCACCAATTATAATAAGAAATGCTTGTAAAGAATGAACAAAAACAAGTTGTCAAGAAACAGTGCTAAAGCTTACAGGTCTTACAAATGCTTTCATACAAATATACATTCTTTTCAGTAGAGTCATCAGAGGAGTAACTCTACATTCATTAAAATAATGTGAAAATTTTTAAATTTATTACATAATGAATAATATTTCTGTCCCTGTGGCTTAAAATTGTGTTTATCTACTTGAATATTTATTTAAAAATACATCTTCATCAGTTGTAATGAATAGAGACCAAGTAATATTTCAGAAGTAAACTCAATTTCAGAAATATCCAGCAACATTAATGTGTTTCCATTATCACACATTAGGACCTATAGCTGACTACAACAGGTAACATTTGTTGATTGTTTAGTGTATGACAAATCTTATTGTAAGCATTGTACATGTATTTTATTTATTTTCACACCACTCACATGAGGTAGGTGCTATTAATACTTGGCCCATTTTACAGATAAGTAAAATGTGTATTTTGAATAACCATAAAATTTCTCATGAATAGAAAGTCACCAGGCAGATCGACCCAGTCTCCACTTTGATCCACTCTAGAATAGTGTCTTTATCTCAAACACAGCTTTGCTAAGTATTGAATCACAGTCATTATTGGTTTATGCTCCAGAATGATGGAAGGAATGTCTCAGTGGATGAAACTAATGGTTTCAGAACTCTTGATTTTTCCTGGGATAACCTTCCCAATAAACCACTTGCTCTTAAACACTTAACTCAGGAAATCTCAATAATAATTTGTCTTAATTGATTTCAGAGTGATATCAGTCATTATTAAGATCATATCTTTAAGAATTGAGTGCCATAGCAAAAGAACTTTACAAATAAAAAAAGAAACTGACTTCTTAAGGAAACTAAACAGAACCCTACAAAAATTCTTCCAGCAGTTAATCAGAGCTCTTTGCCAAGTAACTTAACATTGTCTCCCAATTTTATTTCATTTTACCCATTACACGAGGAACCAGTTTGACAAAATTGAGTTTAGAACATGTGTTGGCTAATGTAAAACATTCCAGCTGGTCCCATATAGTCAACAAATATTGCAGAAAGTCTGGTGGCTGCGAATATGAATGAATCCTTAAAACATTTCTAATTATGTGCAGAGTGATTCATAAAATGCCCTTTCATAAGCCTCGATTCACTGTCATTCAAAGATGAATTTTAATGATGGATAGAAGCCATTTTGATCCATAACATCAATTTTTCTACTATAAATGAGAAATTTGGGGGGTTCCATCTGGGACATATTTGGTTATTCAAGAACTTAAATTCTGATACCCCCTTTAACATAAGCTGTTTCTTTATGAATAACACATTCAAGATCTTTTGCCTATGTGAAACTGGAGCCATCCACCAAAATTTCACCTTGGGTTGCTATGTTTGAAGAAGTATGTAATATCTCACTTTCTTCGGTTTTTGACCTACATAAAATAAATTTAATATAGTTGAACTAGAGTAACAGAATCCCCAAAAGAAAAGGAGGGAGTGAAAATTTTCCCTTTTCTCTCGGCCAGTATCATTCAGTTGGATTGTCTCCTATAATTTCGATAGATAGATAGATAGATAGATAGATAGATAGATAGATAGATAGATGTAGGAGCTATATATATACCCCATTTTATCCAGCTATAAAGACTAGCAAATGCATTTCTTGTCACTTGTCCTCTTTATTGGCCACTGAACAATTCATTAACTATTGACCTGAATCTTCATTTAAATGAAAGGTTGCAAAGGGAGTAGTAAATCTGCTGATAAGGGATACAGGAAAACCAATGATGAAACATGTCAAGCCCATGATAAGACCTGAGGGATACGGGCAAAGGGATAGCACACGATCATGCCTCTACTGAAAACTCAGTTTTTGAAGTTAGAGACAAAGAAATTAAACTGAAGTCTAACACAGATATACCTTTATGCCTGAAAAATCAGTTTGACACCTAAACCTGATTTTGTCATTGTGCATTCTCTTTTGCATACCCCTTTCACTAGAAATCCACAGGTTATGACTTTAAGAACAATTTGGAAATCTATAAATGAAAAACAAGGTGCTAAAAAAACTGTTAAATTATAGCTTCAAATCTCAGTAAACCATTTCCCAAAATTGTTCCAAATTCAAATTGGTCTCTTATGACAAATAAGCAATACTTTTGAACAAGTTTTGTTCGCCTCTCTAAAACCCTATTTAACATTTGAGATGGTGATTAGCTAAATAGAGTCTCTGACTCAAGGCAAAATTACTTTCTGTTAGTCTTGACATTACAGCAGTTAGAGAAAGGAGGCCTTGTGTTCTGAGGTAGTTGGAGGAGGAAATAAGCCACTTAAACTTACTGTGACTGGTATTACCAGCTAGGATCTGTTATAGCAATCACAATATTTTTGAAAATCAATTAGGTGAAAAGCATTTTTTCTCACTGTCTCTAATGCTCATGGCAACCAAACATGAATGTATTATTATCACCCCATCTTAGAAATCAAGGCTCCAAGAAGTTACATTTGCCCCAAATTTAATAGCTAATGAACACTGGAGTTAACATGTGAAATCAGGTCTTGCTGGTTCTAAGACCCATACTCAATCTATCACTAACCTATACTGTTCTAACTTTATAGTACACCTTCTTGAAGCTCTTGTATGTAAAGCAGACAAGAGGAAAGGCTCTAATTAAATCGGGGAGAAAATCTGGAACCTTACCTACTGAGACTCCTTCCCCATTTCTAACCCTCTCTCGAGAGTTCTGAGGTGTTTTATGGAAATCAGGGGCTTTATGGAAGCCATGCGCTAGGCCTCCTATTGCAGTAATATCCCCCAATGTAGAACAGCACCCTTATACATATAAGGGATCACAAACTCAGATGCCTGTAAGTGTTCTCAGCATAACTCGCTACACCTTCTAAGTAAATGGAAGTTTCTTTTTTTCCCTTGCAGTGAACTTTAAAGTCACAGGTCTCTGTGGACCAATATAGGTTTTTTTTTTTCATGAATTTTAATTTCTGAATTCAAATTCCAACATGAGTCTTAGTGAAAGGTCATGTAAATATGACAGCCAAGAAAAAAAATTATTTCATTTAACAAATATGGCACAGAAAAATGTCATTTACATTATTGCATATTTTATAACCACATATAGATGGCTATTATATATATATATTCACAGTAAGTACATATGCACACACACATAAAAATCAAATTAAACTCCCCTGTTTCTTTATGCATTAAAATATGAATTTATAACCACTATCTAACCACTAAGGAATTTGCCCCTAGCAATGGTGTTCAGGGCAGAATGATGTTATTTTAAATTCTTCTCTCATTAGAAGAAAAAGAAGTTTGCTTCTTCAAAGTTTGTGTGTATTTATACCAGAGCTTAACTGGCATTTTCATTGTGGTGTTTATGAATCGTAATATAGTTCCACTGCAGTTTCTGACACACTCATTAATTTGTTCCCAGCGGCAGTTCATTACCAACATCACAAGCAAAGCGCAGTGCTCTCCCTGGGCACTGAGGGTCCGCTGGAAATTATGCAGACAGGACTCTGTGCATCTCAGAGCACAGCCAGCCAAGCTTCCTCTCCCGCAGCAGGCTGGAGGCAGCCGGCACAAGGAGGCGGCAGAAATGAAAGGCATTCCGGTCTTCCCCTGCCTCTGTGCCTTCAGTTTTCAGTTTACACGGAGCAGTAATTTTTGAAAAGGATGTAACTGCTGTCTCGGTGATGTGCCTTCTCTGATCAGCCTGCTTGGATGGGTTAGAACAGTAGTTTCAAATTTCTAGCGCAGGGAAGACTGAAGAACTTTCCTTTCCTTCAAAGGTTATGCTTCCTGAGCTGACCCTTCCTGTCAAAGGGGAATTTTGAGCTCTGAGTTGGTCTCTGCCAAAATCGCCTCTGAAGAGGTGTTGCGTAAACAACAGATCCCAAAAGGACAAACAGAATGTTGTTGGATTTTGCTTCCCAGAAAGTTCTGTTTTTAAAAGTAAGTTGAAAAACAAAACAAAACAAAAGTTGTCTGTTCCTTCTTAGTTGATGCCAGCAGTCACCTGGTGCCCAGACCCACATGCATATTTTGCTCAGTGCCAGAAGACCCAGGTGGGCATGGCAGTGTGGATTCTGGGCATCTCAGTATATACTTCTGAGCCTCCCTCTCTTGTTTCTCACAGTAGAGCTGTTTATACTTGTTTCAGTACTGACCATTGGGTAAGGCGGATGAAATGGGTAATGGGGCATGACTTGGGTGTTCACTCACAATGGACATTACATGGTGAGGCATGGAGGCCAAAGGGTTTGGTTCAAATCAGAGCCCTGCTACACTGAGAAGTCGTCTTAGCCCTTAACTGAACTGTTTCTATCTATAAAATCAGGATCGCAAGGAGATTCTGGAAAAGAAGATCATATACAGTCCTTCTGAGCAGCAAATAAATTCTTAAAATGAGCTCTTTTATCAATTCTAAGTGAAGTACAAATATGGTTAGTGATTAGCTTAGAACAGAGTAGGCGGAGAGAGGGTCTATGTCCTAGCAGCCAGAGGCAGACACTATCAGGCCTCTTCTGAGTTCACCAGAAGCCTGGCATGCAAATTTTCCAGCCCCTTCTCATTAGTGAAGCCTCAGGATGTAGATGAGGAGACTAGAAATCTGTGGAAGGAGCTCTTCCAGGAGCTCTGTCAAAACCAGCAGTGTCCCTCCTGGCTTCTCTCTCCCGTATCACACTTAATCCAACAGCAAATTTGGTCAGCTCCTTCTTCAGAAGGTCCCCTGTTGGTCTGCGGCTCACTGCCTCTATAGCGTCCATGTGAACTAAACCATCACAATCTCTTGAACCTCTGGAAGAACCTTTTACAAATCTTCCTGCTTCCACTGTTCCCTTCTGCCTGTTCTCCTCACAGCAGCCAGAGATCCTTGTTAAGCTATTGAGATTCAAACAAAGGGCCAGATAAAGCCACACTTAAAAACTAACCCATGAGGGGAGATGTCATATATTGTCAGAAAAAATCAGCAAGGGTATTTAAAAGAATACAAATAAATATAAAAATAAAAAAATAAATTAAAAACAAAACTAGTCCTTGAAAGCTGAGGAGAGAACTGAGGCATCCAGAGGGGGAGGGGGTGGGACAAGAAAAAAGTAGGGAAGAGGCAAAATGGACTGTGGAATGGACTATGGCTGTTTTGGTAGTGGGTGCACATGGTAATAAAACATGAAGGGAGGGATCCTATACTCCCACAAATACAAACAACAATGTAAACCAACATTACCTTAATACAAAATAAATAAATAAATAAATAAATAAATAAATAAATAAATATAATAGGCCTCCCTAGTTGCACAAGGGATTAAGTCTCAGCACTATGAAGCTATCTGCAGCCACTGCAGCAGGAGTTTTCTATTGCTCCTCAACCAGGGAGCTAACCCACATGGTGCAGCAGACATCCTCTTTTTTGCCCACTGCTCCCCTCAGCAGTGTATTTGAGTCAATCCATCTGTTCTGTTTCCCACTCTGTCTCTGGTGAATTCCCCCCTCACCTCTAGCTTATACCCCAGCTCTTGTATGCATAAATAAATAAAAATAAATCATAAAAAATCATAAGGAAAGAGAAATGGGATTAGAGGGAGAATTGAAGATTTTTGCACCCTCAAGTGTATCTTGAGAGAATGTTGCTGTCATTCTTACATATAGTTTATTAAGGATTTTCTTGATGTTTGATGTTTGTAAGAATAATAGGTGCTATTGTAATAATAATAGGAGAGGGGCAAGATGGCACCCGGCGAGTGATTCGCCGCATCCCTCCCGCGGCCGCCGAGAACCCGGGCGGGGCCCTGCCCGCGCCGCCGCCGGTCCTCCTCTCCCCGCCCCGCGGCCCCCGCGCCCCCGCTCTCCGGGGCCCGCGGCGGGCGGGCTCCCGGGACAGCATGTCGGACTCCGAGGAGGAGAGCCAGGACCGGCAGCTGAAGATCGTCGTGCTGGGGGACGGCACCTCCGGGAAGACTTCCTTAGCTACGTGTTTTGCTCAAGAAACTTTTGGGAAACAGTACAAACAAACTATAGGACTGGATTTCTTTTTGAGAAGGATAACATTGCCAGGGAATTTGAATGTTACTCTTCAAGTTTGGGATATAGGAGGGCAGACAATAGGAGGCAAGATGTTGGATAAATATATCTATGGAGCACAGGGAATCCTTTTGGTATATGATATTACAAATTATCAAAGTTTTGAAAATTTAGAAGACTGGTATACTGTGGTGAAGAAAGTGAGCGAGGAGTCAGAAATTCAGCCACTGGTTGCCTTAGTGGGCAATAAAATTGATTTGGAACATATGCGGACAGTGAAAACCGAAAAGCACTTACGGGTTTGCCAGGAAAATGGTTTTAGTAGCCACTTTGTCTCAGCAAAGACAGGCGACTCTGTCTTCCTGTGTTTTCAGAAAGTTGCTGCTGAAATCCTTGGAATCAAATTAAACAAAGCAGAAATAGAACAGTCACAGAGGGTGGTGAAGGCAGACATCGTGAACTACAGCCAGGAGCCCGTGTCCAGGACCGTGAACCCCCAGCGCAGCTCCGTGTGTGCCGTGCAGTGAGCGCGGGCCTCCGCCTCCCGCCGCCCTTCTGCACACCAGGCAGGGGCGGCCTGGTCTCGCCCGGGCTGCGGCCTGGCTGCACCGTGGGGAGCTGCTCCATGTGCACCAGCCCTGGAAGGCGTCTCCTCTTGCTCTGCTGCGAACGTACATAAAGCTGATGCCGAACTGAAGATGCTTCAATAAAGCTGTCATAGAAATATTTTTTTCATTTTATAAAAAGGGCGTAAATTGTTTATATTGCAGCTCTAGCTCATAAAGTAGCATTTGATATTGTATTTTTGTGACTGTGTCACGGCGGGTCTGTGCTGTGGGCTGGGCGGGCCGGGCCTGTGGGCGCTGCGCCCCGGGCCACCCTCCCGACCCGGCAGGAGGACTCGAGTGAGTCTCGGCTCTTGTTGGATCACTGCGGGTCAGACTGTACCTGATGTTCAATTTTTCTTCTGCAAATAAATTTATTTAAACTAAAAAAAAAAAAAAAAAAAATAATAATAGGAGAAAAAAACTGGAAATCTTCAAAATGGATAAAACTCGTCTCAAAAATACATATACACGTATATATGGAGGGAGAATCTATTGACCTCCTGCTCAAAAACCTGGGATGTCTTTATTTTTTTTTTCAAAGATTTATTTTTATTTGTACAAGAGCTGGGGTATAGGCCAGAGTCGCAGGAGGGTGAAAGGATTCACCAGAGCCAGACTGAGGAATAGAACAGACAGAATGACAAAACACACTGCTGAGGGGAGCAGCAGACGAGGCAGGAGAGGTCTGCCTCACCATGTGGGATTCTCCCTGGCTGGCCGGGAGTTGAAGCCACGCTGCAGAGGCTGTGGACAGCTTCACAGCGCTGCACTCAACCCGCTGCGCCACCGAAGAGGCCCAAAAACCTGGGATGTCTTTAAAGAAAGAAAAATACAAAATCCTCATCATGGCCAGAGGGATTTCGGTGTGGAAGCCCCAAGCTACCTCCTTCCCCTTCCACCTTCTTCCTTTGCTCACTACTAGCCCCTCCCCCATTGCCCCTGTGGTCTCCGAAGGATCATACATACCACATGTGCTCCTGCCTTGGAACAATTTTGCTTGTTGCTCCCTCTACCTGAAATCCTCTTTCCTGGGAATCCCCAGTAATTCAAGATCTTCCATAACTACGGTTCTGATAAAATGTCACCTTTGCAGAAGGCCCTCCCTTACCATCCTATCTTATCACCCTGTTTCAAGCAGTGCTGGCACATGCACACACACCATGGGCAGACTGACACATACATATGCACACCCTTGGGCCTGCCTACAGACAGGCATACATGTCACTTATGTGTGTACATATTCTCCACTTCCCTATCTGCCTTATTTTTCTTTATACTTATCGCAGTCTGTATATCTATTTGTTTTTCTATTGTCTGTCCTCCATTTCTGCCCCTGTTTAAACAATAAATTTTGTGGAAACATTGACTTGATCTTTTTGATTCACTACTCTATCCCTAGTGTACAGAATAGTGCATGACACTTACCAGGTTTTTAATAAATACTTGGTGTTTAAATGACAATATGACTGAATTAGTTTAGATATGACAGACTGTTTTGCACTCATTGGAGAATACCAGGAATGAGCCTTTAGGAAAACAGTTAATTGATTTTGATGATGCAGAAGGTAGTCATAAACACAGCAGGCAGGTCCCAGAGGACAGCAGCCCATTAACTTTGGTGCCATGAATACAACCATAGGTTATATGGTGAAATCTTTGAGGTCTTGTAAAGCAGCACCTTCCCCAGCAGGAGGAGCCACCCCCTAAATTCATTGTGAAGCAAGCCGGTTGTGAATAATTAATATGATCCCTGGGCTCCTCTCTGTGCTAATGCTGATGTGCTTTCAATATTCCATCCCTCTTGCTTCCTCAGCTATGTCTCAGACAGCAATTTCATGCCACACAGAATATGAATCTAACAGGTGAATTTCCATCCAGGCTACAGTTCTCTTACTATTGATGTGGAGAAAAATGTAAACAAAGTTACAGTAAAGCACTGAGAGTTGGAAAAACTTACTTAGGAGATGCAAAAAATAAATAAGCATCACTAACTCACTTTCTTTAAAAGTTGCATGATGTTCAATAGACATTCAATAGTATATGCCGTAATTTATTCAACCCTTACATTTTTGATGCATTTTTCAGCTTACTTTCCATTTTCTTCCTCTGTGAAGCTGCAATAAACACTCTGCTACATATATCATTACCTTTGCCTGCTTCTATTTCTGCACACAAGATTCCCTAAAGTAGGATTAGGAAGACATTTTTAAATTTTGAACAATATTTGTGATAAATTTCCCATGTGGTAGCAACTTCTTCTCCCACTAATAAAGTGTGACAATGTCCCCTTTCCATCCTCCCAACCTTGCCCAAAATGAAAGCTGGTCTCACCACATTGGAGAGCAAATCTGATGATTTAGAAAGTGGCAGTTCATTTTTAATTTGCATTTTCTTGCAGGTGGCTGAGCACCTTTTTCTGAAGGTATTGGCTTTTCCGTTTTTTTTTTTTAATCTGGATTATGTATTCATATTTACTGGGGTTATCTTTCATTTTAACTTTGTCACTAATTGACATTTTTATCAGACACAGATTGGATCTTTAGTATGCAGTGGGCAGATTTCTAAATGCTTTTTACAGATTTCTTCTTTCACTTGGAAGTATTATGCTTATCCTAATTTTGCATATTTTAAAAAATACTGAAAATGAGAGATTTCAGTAGCCCAAGATTACAAAGAAGACAAATGTTATAGTGGGATTTGTAACTTCCATGTGAAACCAGAATCTTAACAGCTGGACTCTAATAACAAGGATCTTCGGCTTTTTTTTTTTTTTTAAGATTTATTTTTATACAAGAACCGGGTTATACAGGCCAAATGTGCAGGAGGGTGAGAGGATCCACCAGAGACAGAGTGGGGAACAGAACAGGCAGACCGACGAAATACACTGCTGAGGGGAGCAGCGGGCGAGACAGGGGAGGTCTGCCCCGCCATGTGGTTATCTCCTTGGCTGGCAGGGATTGAACCAGCACTGCAGAGGCTGCGCACAGCTTCACAGCCCTGTGCTCAACTGCTTGTGCCACCAGGGAAGCCCACTTTTGGCTTTTGAATCTTAAACATACCACTGATCATAACACAGTGAATATTTGTTCAAGTAGATTGAACTGATTAGAACTGACTAGAATAAATCAACCCATCACTCACTATCCTCACTGACTATCTGTGATGGAGACCAAAATGACCTCAGCCTTCCTTCACATTCCTGCAAAAATTCCATGCTAAAATAAACTAAAATTTTTTTAAGTATGAGTTGAATTTAGGTAGCAGAATAAGTGTTCAAACCTTCGTGATTGGACTAGGTCTTTGGTTTAAAAAAGTAAAAAAAATCATACTCTGCTTTTATAACATTTGAAAATATTGATTTGAAATGAGTTTGCTTCTTGAAAACCCCAACTAATTTCGAAACAGGGTAATTTCAGTAGTTCCAAAGGAACAGCTCTAATGAGTTCTGTCAGAGAATCTTCTTCTTACCAGGAAATGATTGAAGACAAGGAGATAGCCTCTCATTAATTCCTTATTAACTATTTTAATCAGGATTACATCACGGGAGCAGGGATGATGGCCAGCAGGCTTTGGTGCGCAAATTCATTAAACTGACTAGGTGGAAAGGTCTGGGCAGCCAGAGGGGCTGTTCCTGTGTCCCATCCCCCACCATGGGCGCCTTATTTGGTGAAAACATGACACCCTTAACTCCACTTCGTTTATCATCATGCATCCCTCAAAAGTCCAGTACAAAATGTTTCTTTCTTTTTTAAAAAAAGATTTATTTTTATTTATATAAGAGCTGGGGTATAGGTCAGAGCTGTGGGAGGGTGAGAGGATTCACCAGAGACAGAGTGGGGAGCAGAACAGGCAGACAGACCGAAAGAACTGCTGAGAGGAGAAGCGGGAGAAGCAGGAGAGGTCTGCCTCGCCATGTGGGATTCTCCTGGCCAGCCAGGAATCCAACCTACGCTGCAGGTGCTGTGGACAGCTTCACAGCACTGTGCTCCACCCGCTGCACCACCGGGGAGGCCCACAAAAGGTCTCTTTCAACGAATTCTCAAGTGCCTGCTTTGTGACTGGGAGCTGGAAAGCCCTTTAGGGAAGGTAGCAGACAGACAGACACAGATTCCTCCATTGGAATGGAGGCCTCATTAATATGGCACATGGAATAACCCCACCCCCAGGTCCTAGAAGATGGAGGAACTAGTCCACGCTTATCCCAGAACTTCAGTAAACCTACTGTATCTTGTGGGCATGGGAGCGGAGCATGGTGACCTGGGGTAAGCAGCCTATGAAACTTAGTAACAACCTTTTGCTCAGTTCCTGGCATGCAACTTAGTTCCTGATAAGAATTTTAGACCACACACCGCCATGAGGCAGGATGGACCTGGGGACCCCATGACTGCTGACCCTTTACTCACCCTTTACCACCCTTGGTATGCTACTGTACGACTCACCTCTCTGTATGTAGCCACATCATATCTGAGCATATATAGCTGCCAATGCAAACCCACACAGAACCTTGTAGAAAATGAAAGTGTATATAAGCCCCTGACTTCCTACAGATGGGGCTCAGCCTTGGGATGTGAATCCGCTGAGTCAGCACTGCTGCATTAAAACTGGTTCTTGTTAGCCCTAGTGAACATGTTTCCTTTGTGCCATTTAACAGGAGAACTCTTGGAGAGAAATTCTCACTCTTTTCTATGGAATTTGAATCCCAGAAAAAGTACACTCTGGAAGTGTCATAGTCAATTTAAGTCTGTGAGAGGAGTGATTATCCACAGGGGCATTTTTTACTTAAGAGACATTAAGAGACATGTAGAGAGTGACTACTTGTCCTGCAGTATCAGTTCAGCCCCAAGCTAGGCCTTAAAGAACCCTTTTCAATGGCATTCTCTCTTTTTTAAGTTTGTTTGATTTGTGTTTTCTGGAATTTTCACCTTAACTACTTCTCTCTCTGTGGTGGGGTTTCAATAATTCTGGACTGATTGTGGGGTCAGTATGATGCAATGAACCAAAACCTAGAAAAGAAAGGCTAGATA